ACCCTGAACTTATAAAAACAGAATTATGAATGAGAAAAATTCTGCCATTGAGGAACATGCTGTTATCCACCAACATAACATATCGTGGGGCAAAAAAAAGGGGTCGCGCGAGAACAACAGTATTTTTCCCAGAAATTCAAAGAAGCGTTATTGATCCGCACAACCAAATGTATCAATCGTAACCTTCAAACAGACATTGCCGACGCATGGACCTCAAACATGAAGCGGCCCCTTTCGACCAGTAAGAAACGCGGCACCATTAATTATAGAAGCCATTCTGATCCGCATGAAAATATTACGTGCAATGCTCATTGTTACTCTTAATAAAACAAACCGATATGTCATAATTAATAAAAGAATATTTTATACGTTGTCCTCCTGTCTGTGACATATCAAAGCATTATATGAGTAATATGTAATAAATAATTCGCAGTTCTTACCCGTTGATATAGAATAGATTTCTCTCCTTTGCAAGGGCGAGCGCTATGTTCTTGCACTAAAAGAAGATCAGCTGTGGAAAAATTCGACGATGTTTGCATTGTTCAAACAGTTCTTGTACAATAAGGTCTCGATTATCTGGCCGAAGCATGGCCGTACAGCGGTCGGATTATTAGAAATATTGGATAACACTTAACACTGTTGAAAGAACCAAACTTGGTGTTGACGCAATTTGTAATGAAATCATATTTTACACAATGTGAATTTCGAAAAAAAAGTTTATTCTTTGAAGAACTGAATAATAAATATTTGCTTCTCAGTTTCTGTATTCTCTTTGCAGGAAGGTCACGCCACCACCTCACCACTGGTGAGGCGTGTTTACTCTTTGTTCCACATAAGCAAGTGTTCCAGACGACCGATGCATGTCCCTGAAAATGGAAGGACAAAGAAAAATCAATTTTTCACTTTACACCAGCAGCTCTGTTGCGCGACGCCTCTCTTCTTCAAAGCGTCTATGGAGACCACTTAAGCAGGTAGCGGTTTCATGGTATTTAAGCACCTTCAGTGCACAGGACATAGCATCGCGTCTCAAACAACCCTCTTTCTTCTTCATTTCGATTGCTCTGACCAAAAACATCCTCATGCAAGTTGGACCACGTCTTTGGCACTATTAGCCGACATTCACCATTTATGATTAAATAGAGGGTCTGGTTCGGAGAGGTTTCTAACAAGGTCCATTCGGTGATTCAATTCCTATCCCATCTTTTAGTCCCATCTTTGGCACTGACACGATTTTCTACCGTTTGTGGTTCGGGTTCCAAAGGAAGCGGTGCACCAAGTTTGAGCTTCGTGCTCTCCCTAGGTGATTCGTCACCTTCAGGCGTAAGATCATTGCAGATGTTCTTATTCTTCTTCGTCATCAACATCTTCCTCTTCTTCTTCTTCCTCTTCTTCTTCTCATCCAAAAGATGCATCGAAGACTGCGCAGGATGCGTGCAAGCATTCTACCTGGGCCAAATAAATGTGTGCTAACTTTTCGATTCCAATGAGACCTTGCCATCGTGCTGTAGGTCTTCCTGGTGGTTGAATGACGTCAGAATTTGTGTTCAATTCTCGCCTAGCAACGCGGCTATAGTCAATTCTTTGGCAACGACTCAATCACTTTCAAAGCCTTGTTTACAGCCAATTCGTGACTTTATATGGTCATTCTGAGCTTTTCCTTACGGCAGCATTTAGCACCAGTTGTTGATCAGATCTTCGTTACCGCTCTCCCTGTTTCCTGCTCTCAGCTTTGTTAACTTAAACAGTAGTATTTATTAAACTATTTAATGATTTAAAATGAATGTATGAAAACTTTTGTCAACCATAATATATTTCCAATGACTGGATCACATGTAGATTTTCTCAAAGACACATTCTGCTTACTACAAAGTGTTCCGGGCCCTTATATGGCAATCCGCTGTACAAGCCATTCTAGACGTGTCGCTCTGAGTTTTCTAACAGTGAAATCAATAAAAAATTTTTGTGGTAATGTCACGATGACCGGCTCCAAAGCCATTTTCAGCACATTGTTAAACTTTTTCCAGTCAGGAAAGACGAATGGCAGGAGGCAGGTTGTCAAGATCAAGCTTGCTCAAATGAATTGTGATTAACCTTGCTTTGGACTGCTGACGTTTATATACAAGTATGAATGAACCCGTGGATTTTATTAATGGACTGAACGGAGCAGGATCAATCGAGCAGGGTCTTCTCAACGTACAAATTTCTCTTTCCACTTATTGCTTCTCTTCATCTTCTTTCTTTTTTTCTTCTTGCACGTGACGACGGCACACCCGTATCTCAAGGTCTAATTTCGATAGCCAGGCGACCGAGTCGGTCTCCAATGCATTCCTCTCTGAAACTCCTTGTTTCGCACCGACTGACGATGTTGTCCACTGTCTGACTGGATCAGGGTTTCTACGGTCACTCGCAGAATTCTCACTGAACAGCTGTTTGAATGGATTGTGTCCGGCTCCGGCGTGATTCGCCCATTATTTTCTGACCAAGTCAGGGTCGTCTGTTCGCAGATGAACTATATGTTTAACCACGTGATGCAGGAGGTCGAGTTCCTTTGGGTTATTTGCTTTCTTTAAGCGGCAATCACGTGCTTAACTGTTAACTGCAAAATGTTTACTACGAATAAGGCACGTTACCTCGTTGATGTTTGCCCCTTGTACGATGATGTTTGCGTTGTACTGCCTACATCGACTGATCTTCATCAGCGGCGATATTATGGGCATAACAACCGTCACCGGGATGTGTAACTTGTCCCCATGGTAGGAGAGTGCCAACGCGTGATTCCCTGCCGACGCCGTGATCGTCCCTCGCTTACGCTGTTCCTGAAGTAATCACGTGTCATCTGGCTGAGTACGATTCAGTGGCCTGACTCTTACGGGAGTCAACTTCAGCAGCGTGTTTCTTATTCCTCTTTCTTTGAAACTGTAGAACACCATCAGCAGGAAGGAAAAATTACAGAAATCATCGTTTACCTGCCAGTTACATGCATAAATTCCTTCTTAAAGTAGATCTCCATGCCCAGCATCTTCGACAGCATATCAGATCTCTAAAATATGAAAATCATGTACATATAAAATCACAGCTGAAGTAACTTACAGTATGGCTGCGCTGTGGAACTTGCAACTATATATGAAACATAAATAAGTCTTTTACATAAAAATTTACCACCTATATTTTACCTACATCAAAAAATTGTTAGAAACTGGCACTGTTGTCAGTGAAGTGCTGCGTTTTAGTTTTAACTTAAACAAATTGCCTGAAATCAGGTATACAGTTTCAATCCTATTTTGGCCAACAGTAAAAAATTTTCAATTAAATAGAGGCTTACGGTGCATGCAAAACTGGCAATCCAATGGCAACATTTCTGTCCATCAAAGATTCGCCAAGTAATCCAATAGGTTTTGAACGTAATTGCCATGGTTATACCATATCTAGACAGATCACTGAAACTCCGCCATCAGCGGACTCTACGGGCTACTTTCTGCGTCGGTCGGTCGCTCAGTCAGTCAGACAGTTAGACAATCAGACCGACAGCCAGTGAGTCATCAAGTAAGTCAATTAATCAGTTTCTAGGCCCTCTTATCCATTCGGATCACGGCTGCATACGCGTTAAATAGTGTCTCTCCAAAGTCCCAATCCTGTGCAGTTTTAAAAGTAGTTCATCAAAGACCTCTATTGACTGTCACAGAATTTATACAACTATGAACTACAGGTGAAACTCTTCTTCAAAGTGAAAGAACTTCTGTTTGCATTCCGCAAGGGTCATGTTCAATACTTAGACGCTATATCTAAAAAGGCGGCACAGCTTTTGTGCCTGGGGTATTTCATCAATGAGAAAGGAAAACGATGTCTTTATTGGCTGCTAATTCCCTTGAGCAAGGAATTCATGCCACAGTGCTTTGCGAGCAATGAACCAATAAACTGGTAAGAGGTATCTGACCTGCGAATAGCAGGGACAGCACGGTGCTTTGGTGTGGTCATGCCAATTCCTGGGAAAATATGCTGCTATGCTGTCTGATGTGTAGGATTTACAGCAGCAGTTCGCCTTGACCCGCCTGATAGCTGAGTAGGGGAAATCAGCACAAGGTGCAAAGGTAAATTTTAAAAAATTTAAAGTGCATAGCAGACTGCAATTCATGCAATCAGCGATTCCCAATTTGGTTGCATGACGAGAGCAAATGTGGACTGTCTGGTAAGAATGGCACTATACGGCTTGGCCTTGGAATAAGACCTGATTATTCTAGACGGACCATATCGTTCATTAAAAGCAACCGAAGTTCTCATGCCAAGAGAAGCGCTCAAGAATGGCGATGCGGTACAGGAAAGCACGTAATGCAGTCTACTGGCCTTGAGCTGTAGAGGATAAAAACCGATGAAGAGGATATGAAGGTATACCTAAGAAGTTTATACTCCTAACCCTTGGTCTTTGCAGTTGTAGATGGCAACTCCTAGACACAGCAGCGCTGATGTAACTGCACAAAGATGAACAATAGAACTGAGAGTGCTGCTGGCCTCATGTCTTACAGAATCGGACGATCTGAATCTTTTAGACAACTTTCACATCTAATTTCAGGCACAATCGTTTACAGAATTGTTTTGCCTCCATGTCATCTATTGGAGATGTGAGATATTAGTTAATTGATTACCAATTCATTTCAATTAAACCAGCATAATGAGGTCAAACCAGAAGGAGGATGTGATATTCACTGCATCAAACAATGATCAGTCAAACACACAGTGAACTGATCTGTCCGATGCTCAGAATCGTCCGGCCCTGATTCATATCCGCGCGCATGTTCTGATTAATTTTTGAGATAATTATCGTTCATTTCAATGTACAAGTAATTTTCCTCATTATTTTGCAGTGCCCGTGAGGAAATAAATTCGATATGCAGGTATTTCTGAACTTATGTGACTTATTGATGAAATAAAAATCAGTGCGGTGTGAAATCTGAAAAGGAACAATTGATTCTTTTTCCTACCGTGCAAGGCGTACGCATGAGACTGTCCCTGATTCTGAAAGCGGCAGCACTGACTTCTTGGAACGTCACTTCGAGAGGGTGATCCGGATCACAAAAAGGGTCTTTTGGAACTTCGTCAGCTGATGGCACTTTCACACTGACTGCTAAAACATATTAAATGATCGAATTAAGCTACGGATTATGCGTCGAGAATTAAAATTTATTTTGCATGTTTTTGCAATATGACGATTTACATATGTGTTGGCTACACCGTATAAAAGTGTGATGCATTTAGAGATGTGATAGCTGGGATCATCTTTACCTGAGGGCTCAACTTTGCTGCTTCGGGCGAAGAAAGAACTGTTCGATTCGACCGTCCTCCAGTCATGATCTACGGCGCTGAATGTTGATCTGCTACCAAAACCGAGGAGTACAAACTGATGGTCATGCAAAAACTGACGGAACAAAAAATGTGCAAAATGTCCCCC